CAAACATGTGGACAAGGGGGATCCAATAGATATTGTTTACCTTGACTTCCAGAAAGCTTTTGATAAAGTTCCTCATCAAAGGCTCCTAAGTAAGCTCAAAAATCATGGCTAATTAATAGAAAAGTAGTTGCTTTCAGGATAGAATCCCTCACATGTCACTTTGAGAATCTAGCCACTATTTCCCCAGGCAGATTATTCTTTTTGATGTACATGGAATAGGACCTATAGACCACATCCATTTCACTTGCAAGATACTCCGCTTTCAAATCTGTAACTGGGGCTAATGCTTCACTCAGGAGTTGCTTTAGATTATCAGCATTTAATTCTGGGACCCCTTGAAACCGTAGGACCAAATTTGCTTTTTCCATTTGCAGCTGTAAAAGTTGTGATTCTTCAGAGGCTTGTTTCTTTTCCAGCTTTTGCACCTTTTTCTAGACTTTTTTTGGCATTGGCATCCATTTCCTTCACCTTCTCAGCCATTTGCTCCGTTATTTTTAAAGTCTTAGTCAGTTGGAGCTGTTGAGTTGCAAGATTCTGGTTTAGATTCGTCAGCTGTTGTGCTATGTTAGTCATCTGGTCCAGCAGAGGGCGCAAGGACTCTGCCAACATTTTGGAGAGCTCGGTGGTCTCTTCCGGTCGAGGGCTCAAGATTCCGGCTGGTTTCACTTTTACTGGTTTGTCTTTCTCTGCCCTTTTCCCTGCCATCTTTATGGATTGTTTACTTTTATGAAAACTTGCTAAAGTCTCTGAAATATGCCCACACGCTTATCCGCACTCCGGTAAGTCTCTCAAAACAGATTTCAATGCTTTTTCTTCCGCTCCCCCCTTTGTATTTCATTGTTTAGTTCATGCGTATGGGAGGGGCCCCTCCCTCACTCGCTTTTTTGCTCACTCGCTTTTTTGCCATTCCCAGAGGGTAGCTTTCTTTTTAAATTCTTATTTCACTTTAACCTGACTCACAGTTCATTGTTGGTCATACGACCTCATTCGGCATACGTTCAAAACACTCAATCTCCAACGCTTGTCCCGGTTAGCAGCTCTAGATCCATACGGACACTCAGCAGCAGGACCGTCGGGGAGGAGGAGCGCCTCAATTCCCCAGCATCGTGCTGGCAAAGAGGTCACCCCTCAAAAGCCCCATAGCTAGGAGCCTTTTGCCAAGGCTCCAGGGGGGTAGCGACCCGTCGCCCCCCTCCTTTCTGCTGGTGCACAGATCACATCCCCGGGAAGTCCGGGAGATGCGTCTGCCAGCATGTTGCCATAAACCGGATGGGCCTTATTCCGAGTATTGATACAACAGTATCCTAGTGCAGATTTTAATTGCAAAAGCCCTGGTGGCCCAGGAGAGGGGGAATGGGGGCAAGGAAGCTAAGGCCGGCGGCTCTGGGTTGTGAAATCCCTGGAGATTGGGGGGGGGGGTTGGGGAGGGAAGGGACCTTTGCAGGGTATAATTCCATAGAGTCCACCCTCCAGAGCAGCCATTTTCTCCAGATAAACAGATCCCTGGGGTCTGGAGATAGTTGACATTTGAGAAGATTGGCAGGTGCCACTGGGATGGGAAATTTGCCGTATGGAAGCCCCACTGCTGTCACGCTTTATCTACAGCTACACCAGCAGTGGGCAAGCCACAGAATCCTGTCCCCATATGGAAGCCACCCTATTTATAGTGAACTTCCTTAAATCACGAGGAACATCCTTCAATTAAGTACGTTGCTATGTTACAGTAACAATAGCAAATGGGATTGTTCAGCTCCCCTTGAGCATTTTAATGATGGTCTTGAAAAATCCCCCTAACTCTGAGGAGTCTCTCTCTCTCTCTCTCTCTCTCTCTCTCTCTCTCTCTCTCTCTCTCTCTCTGGGGAGGATGGAGCTCAGCCAGCCAGAGGGGTGGAGTTTTGATATGACCCCTGGTGGAGGTGGTGGGGGTGGTGGGGGTGTTATTGCTGCTGACTCTTCCTAGCAGAGATGTCCCTGCTCTAAAGGCAGGCCCTCACTGCGTAGGCGGTTGATGTTGTGTCACAGAGTTCTTTCCAAGAACGTTCTTAGGGGAAGTGAGTCCACTCCCTACCCCTCAGCTCCATCCTGGCTATCCCCTCGCTTTGGGCCCCTGCCCACCAGCTCTCTCACACTCAGTCCAAAGGCAGAAAACAGAGGTGTTGTGAAATTCATTGTGTACGAGCATTTCGTTAGTGTCCACACTTTAATGTGTTCTGTTGTACCAACATTTGAAATTACATAACGTCTCCTTGTTTATGCATAGTTTAATCATTTTTTCCCACAAGGAGGGCTTGGCTGCAACGCAAATTTATTTCTGAACAGTGACACCGGAAAAAATCAGCCTCAAGCAAGAGCTCTGCAAGGAGATGGTCACAGCACGTGATTTCAAGGCTTGTAAAGCCAAGGTTTTGTGTTCTATATTTACAGATCCAATCTGTGTCCGAGGCTTTGATCCAACTCTCAGCATGATGTCGGGAATAACTCCGCTTAACCCCATGTTGCCGGGCATGGGATTGGTTCCCCCGCCGCCTGCAACGGAGGTACCTGTTATCAAAAAGAATTTGCTGCAAAAGCTTCACTCTCTTCCCCCCCAACCCAAGTAAGTCGGGTTAATTCGTTTGACGAGGTGCAAAGGGTCTGGAGCGGGGGTCCCCTGCCAGGCACCCGTGGGGGCCCTGGTGCCCACAGACACATCTCCTGGTGCCTGCACCGAGCGCTTTCAGAAAGCGAGCTGGGCCAGGGGGAGCTTTTGCCCAGAGGGACTTCCAGTCACCCACGAGATATTTGATGGGCTGGGCAGATTTTTTTTAAAAAATGTTACTTTGGCAGCAGGTGCCACAACAGCACAAGGACCTTCACTTTTTGACTGAAGATAAGCCACAGCAGCCATTTTGTGGCTGGCTCTGCCTCCTATGGCAGCCATTTTGTGGCAGTTGTTCTGTTTCTGCTCCAACCACACTGTGTCAGAATTCCAAAGGTGCCGACTGGCTCAAAAAGGTTGAGGACCTCTGGTCAAGACTCAGGTGAGTTTTACGTAGATCAGAAGTTGCTGAGTGAACCTGGCTGTCACTAAGGGGGCCCACCTGTGTCTGGGTTGTCCCGCATGAAGGGACAGGCAGCTGCATTGTGTGATGCGCTGTTTCTCCAAATAAACAAGCCAAGAAGAAGAAGAAGAAGAAGAAGAGATTGGATTTATACCCCGCCCTTCACTACCCGAAGGAGTCTCAGAGCAGCTTACACTCTTCTTTCCCTTCCCCTCCTCACAACAGACACCCTGTGAGGTAGGTGAGGCTGAGAGAGCTCTTTCGAGGACTGCTTCTGAGAGAACTTGTGACTGACCCAAGGCCACACCAAGGCAGCTGCATGTGGAGGAGGAGTGGGGAATCAAACCCGGTTCTCCCAGATTAGAGTCTGTGCTCCTAACCAGTGCACCAAACTGGCTCTCAAAAAAATCCTTACACAGAAATTGTTGCACAAAGAAACCTCATATGGCAGTGAGTCTTCGGTCTACTTTACTCTGTGGGAAAGGGTGGTTTCCCCCCAACGAGGGAGCAGTCAGTTCAGTGAGCCCCCCTGCAGCCCAGACCCTGGTTGGCCCCCTCAATGAGAAGCAGGCCTTCGTAATCCCCTTCCTTGATATTCCCACGAAGCTACTGTCCTGCAACAGCCGTTGGAGATTTCCGAGGACAAATGGCAAGAAGGGGGATGGCCAAACATTTAAAAAGTGGAAGCCAATTTGGTACCGTTTGTGGAAACTGCGGTTTTGAGTTAAAACCATTTGCAAATAGGAGATTCTAGATTAACTAAGAAATGCATAGTTGATAACGAAAGGATCACCACTGCTTGAAATGGGAGGGTAGTGATGTTAAGTAGAGGTCATACTTGGTGTCACCAGATATAAAATCCAGACAAAATTTCCCAGAACGGAACTTTCCTGCTCCCACCCTCCCCCCTCCCCCGGCCGCAGCCCCCTGATCTCCACAAAGTGCTGCTCCTGCTGGGCAGTGGGCCCCGAGGACTGGCGTGAAGGGGGTCTGGAGTGGGAAAGCGGCAGGCATGGCCAGTTCAGTCTGAATCCAACTCAGGGTGAAAATGGTTTTTTTTTTAAAGGCCGAGCAAAAAAAAAAGTCCAGTGGCACCTAAAAAACTTAACATTTATTTCGATATGAGTTTTTGCGAGTCACGGTCCACTTTGTCAGTAGACGTGTGAAAGAAACTGGTACTGGGAAGTCTTACGGGGAAATTTAGTGGTGGTGTTGTGTGGGTGGGTGGGGAGGCTTGGTGTGAATTACAGTGCTGTGCTGCATTTCCAAATCTGCAATGCTCGGTGGGCCAGTATTCCAATGTATCCAAAGAGGCAGCACGTGCAGCCATGCAGGTCGCAAGGAGTGGGTGGATCTGTATGACTCTCTCGTGCCCGGCCCAATCTGAATGCTCTTTAGGAGACCATTTCTGGCCAGTCCATTGGCTAGAGAATAGATGCCAATCACTTGGCGGGAGGGGGGAGGGGGGCAAATGGAATCCTTGCTGAGCAACTAGGGTTGCCAGCCCCCAGGTCTGGGCGGGGGTTTCCCTGCTTCTGGGGGCTCCAATCCACCACCACTGAGCTGGTGGGCCCCGTCACCTGAGAATGACCCCCCGCCTGGCCACCCCTCTCCCTCCCCTCCTGCCCGATTTAAAGGGCTTCAGGTGGTCGGTGGGGACCACGTGGCCTTCCCACCAGCTGGATGGCCTTTTAAATCCAGCGGGAGGGAGGGGGAGGTCACAGGTCCAGGATCTGCTCATAAAAAGTCCTTTTCAAGGGTCTTTCTGCAAGCGGAGCCTGCGCCTGCAACCTCCCCCTCCCTCCCGCTGGATTTAAAGGGCTGTCCAGCTGGTTGGCGGACCACGTGGTCCCCGCCGACCAGCTGAAGCCCATTAACTCGGGCGGAAACACTAGGAGAGTGGATGCGGCATGGAATACAGACGGCTGTAGTGGAAGATGGCGGCTGAGGCAGACGCTGGATGCTGAGCTCCGGGTTTTATTTATTGCTTTTAGCTTGTCTTAGCCTGCCAAAACATTTTTCTTGGACCTTTTCACTCTGTGTTTGGATATAACTCTGGGTTGCCGTTGGATTTAATCTGGACAGCCTTGGATAACTGAGAACAGCAAACATGCAATTAATTGACTTAATTTGCCGGCTGCAACGTTACCCCGGTGTGCTTACCTCAAGGCTTAAAGTTTACAAAACTATATTGTTTAATGGCATGCCGGGGGGGGGGGGGTGTTGCACGC